TGTATTGTATTTATTTAGTAAGAGGACATTTTCACTAATATCATTATTTTTTAGGCATTTCACATTAAGTAGGTAATTTTCATTGGTTGGTTTATTATTATATTTATTTTGTATTCTTTTTTATTTAGAAGTGTTAGTCTATTCCCCTTTAACCCTTGGTAATCCTTGACTGTAGCGTTCGAATATATTATGGTATTGCTGTGACCACCAAGGTTTTTTAATTAATGAAAGGTTTTTCACTTGCACTATTTTAAATTCTATTTGTTCTAGTAAGGATGTACCTATGAATAAGTGCTCTAGGTACACAAAATGCATAAGATGTGGGAGAAAGACCAGGACCATTTGAATACTTTTTGATATTATCATGTTGTGAATGCTATTTGACTATGAACAATAAATGTGAAGCTATATATTTGTACATGGCTGTAGTGCCATGAAGTTACCAGCACACATGAACATGATGTGCCCATGGTGTACTTGCTAGAGATAGTTCCCTGGTGTCCTTGAATATGTAACACCAGGGAACTAACCTGCAATGAGGGGACAGGACCGGGCGGTGATGGAGGCAAAGAGCCCATTACTTACTGTGCTCTTTCTGCACAGCTGGCATGCGCGCCCTGCATTGAGCCGGCAGCTGGGATATGACATCATACGGGCATCAGCATTACATCTGAGCGCGCAAGGGATATGTACAGGAACAACACAGTGATCCCATCACAGCAGCAACCACAGGTCACCAGGGAGAGGATCCCAGAGCGGATGCTGGGTGGACCTCTTAATTACTTAATGACTGTGTGTCTATGAATGTGATTTGTGTGTGTGTATGTCAGTAATTATGTGTGTATGTGATTGTGTGTCTGTGATTGTGTGTGTGTAGGTCTGTGATTATATGTGTGATTATGCGTATATGTGAGTATGTCTGTGTATATATCTGATTGTGTGTGTGCATGTATGTGATTGTGTGTATAAGTCTGTGATTGTATATGTGTGGGGGTTCTGTGATTTTATGTGTGCATTTGTGGGTCTGTGATTGTTTTTGTGTATGTCTGTGATTGTGTATATGTCTGCGATTGCATGTGTGCGTGTGTATGTCTGTGATTGTGTGTGTGTGTCTAGGTCTGTGATCGTATGTGTGTCTAGGGCTCCAATTGTGTGTGTATGTGTATATCTGTGGTTATGTGTATATGTATATACATGTGTGTGTGTTTAGTAGATCGTTCTCTAATTTGGTATCATTAAATATGGCAATCCCACATAAGTGTAACAAATAAGGGAGTTATCTGCTAAACAAATGAAATATCAGAATTAAGAAAAAAGTGCTTGAAGTTTTATTATATAAATTAATTATATATTTTATGTATGGCCCAAGACAAGCTCAATGTGGTTAGGGGAATTCAAACATTTTGACACCAATGCTTTAGTGGTAAATAAATAAAATAAATAAATAGTGGTAAAAGAATGAGGTGTTTAAAGGATATGGTGTGTTTTAAAAGGGTTATGAATTTAGAGGGATATACCTTATATAGAGGGTATAGAGGGGTCTTACTCAGAGAGCATAAAAATCTGCACCTTGGTACCCCTCCCTCTGCTAATAACAGCCACATGATTTCTGTTATTTACTTATTCACAGGGTTATTCACTAAAGTAAAAATTGTTGTTAATTCAAAGTGAATTTCGAATTCAAGGCATAAATAGCCAAATTGGACAATTTCTCCAATTCAGCTGTCAGTTCACTTTAAATTCACTTTGCATTCCCAGTAGTTCTGAGTTTAGTGGATAACCCTGAATGTATCTTATCTGGGACAAGTTCTGACCCAGCAGACTAGAATGAGAGGCCGGAGCCACCTACCGGTGCAGGTAAATCTTATGCTGCAACTACTAGTTGCCTGGAAATTTGTAGCAGCATCAGGGACATTGAATGTGTTTTTATTTTAACATATTTGTATATATAATGCAGTGTCTGCATAAGTCATAAGAAAGAAGCAAATCACAGCCTTTTAAATGTCTTTTTTGAGTGCCACAAAAATGTGGATGATGGTAAAATGCGATATAATATGATCACAGACCTAGACACACACACACAATCACAGACATACTATAACTTTTAATCATCTTTTTGCTCTGCTAAAGTGCTGTGTATGTGTAAATCGAGTTGCTTATAATAAATAAATTTTTTAAAAAACAATACGTTACTAGCATGGCACTTTAAAATATATTCCAACGTAACTCTCTGGTCATCAAAAAATATAGTTCACCAAAGAGGAATTCCACGCTTTTTTGTTGCTTACTCAATATCACAATAAAAAGTCTCCATGGCAGCATGTTTATGTGGGTTTAAGTAATGTTCCTAAACGGTGTAGACTGATTTATGCTTTGCGTGTGTTCTCATTAAAAGATGTGGTCTGGTAACTCTAGATTGATGCAAATATACAGAGAGATGAGGAGTGATCTCATGGAGGCCTCCTCTATTGTAACCTAATGCCACATGAGCTTTGTCAGACACGCACAGGGGAGGCCAGATTTATAGCAGATGCCCTCTTTTGCAGCTAAATACATTAGCATAAGAGAACACAGCTAAGGGAAGCCTGAAGAAAGCAAGAATGGCCCTGACGCAGTGACATCTGCTGTCAGACCACTGAACAGCTAGCCAATCCTGGGACTCTGCTCTCTCCCATAGCACAAGGAGTAGGTATAACAGTGTATACATGGATAATATCAGGCAGGGTGTGTTCTAATCACACAGCGTACAAGATAACGTTATCACACTCCGTACAGCATCTGGCAATGTGTGCAACTCTAGAGCCACTGTCTACATGACTATACACATTTGCAAAAGTAAATAGGGAACTTTTTAAAATGAAATTGTAAAACAAAAATAATAATAATAATAATTAAAAATTGAACTTTTTCTATTTTAAAATAAAAAAAATCAGACAGAGTAATAATGAGAACCTAAATCTATATTTCTAAAATAAAGAACTGCATATGAAAAAGCCCATTATAAAATTAAAGGATTAAGCCTAGTTTGCAAAACAGAGCCCCAGTTTACCACCCTTAATTAATAATCTATTATATTTCAGAGTATTTCAAGTTCTACTTGAGACAATCGTTTAATATCTCAATGGTCCTTAAACCTGTAGCTATATATCACTACAAGGTACTATGTGAGGAGCAGATTGCCTTTTTTGTTTATTGATAATCTTTTAAACATCTACCAACACCACGTTTAGGCTCAAGAGGAAAAGCCACACAGATTCAGAGTTTTGGTCCTTCTGAAAATTTTGAAATAAACACCATCCAGAGTAAACAAACTACTATCAACATCTAAAGCCTGAATGACTAAACTATATTGAATATAATTAAACAAAGTAGCATTGCCGTCTTAGAAGGCAGGAGTTTAAAGAGTTAAGATTAAAAAGGTTCTTCAATGTCCTCCAATGATTGAAAAGGTGGTTGAAACATGTATTTCATTATCTTGTTAATGACGGCTGGATTGGATTTACATGTCAGGTGCTTGTAGGCACAGAATTATAAGGCACCCATTGCTAGAGCGAGTTTAATTCATTCATTACCTGGGCATTGCAGGGATAAAATCATCTAGAGAGCCTATAATTCATATTTGACAAATGAATGTATCATACACTGATAAGCCACAAAATTAAAACCACTGACATGATGTGAATAATAATAATAATATAATCATTTGCGATTTTTATAGCGCTTTTCTCCCTGTGAGACTCAAAGCACCTTACAAATATACAAACATAAAGACATAACACTAATTATATTGTTACAATGGCACCTGTCAAGGGAGGGATATATAAGGCTGCAAGTAAATACAGTAGTCAGTTCTTGAATTTCATGTGCTGGAAGCAGGAAAAATGGGCAAGTGAAAAGAACTCAGTGACTATGACACAGGCCAAACAGTGATAACTAGACGACTGGGTCAGAGCATCCCCAAAACAGCAAGTCTTATGAGATGTTCCCAGTATGCAATGGTTAGTAAACAAATATATTCCTGACACAATAGTGCTGGAACATAGCATTAGGTCCCTGCCCCCCTCTCTCAAGAAATTAAAGGTGATTCTACTCACCTCTCCACAGCTGGCCACGCCTGGTCATGCCTCTGTGGAGATCAGGGCTGCCATCAAAAGTACAAGACCCGCCCACAGTACCTGCCCCCAAGGATGCAGTGTGTTTTTGTGTAGTGGATGCAGTGTATGTGTTTGTGTAGTGGATGCAGTGTGTGTAAAGTGGCCAAAACGTAGATCCCCATCTGTCAGACAAGTCTCAGAATGCTTTTCCAGCTAGAGATGTACAATTTGCCCATCCTTGCAGGATTGTATTTTGTATGGAGTATGTGTGTACATACATTTTGCATGTGGCTCCCTGACACCCTCATATTATCCTAAGCAGGGCCCAGTGGGGTGCCAGCACTTTAAGCACTGACTATCAGCCAGCAGTGAAGAAGTGATGTCAGCTTGTCACTTCCTCCCTGCTTCACAGAAAGCTGGACAGGTGGACTGGAGGGAGGAGGCAGCATAGCCACACAGCAGCATGGAGGGAGAAGAGAGGCTGGAGTGAGCTGCTACTGTATGCTCAATCCCATCAGCCTCAGCCAGGACCGGAGCATCAAGCAAGCCACCCTCCAGGAGACAAAGGTAAGCTAACAGGAGTGTAGCTGAGGGTTTGTGTCAGCGCAGGGCCGCCACCAGGGGGTGACAACCACTTTCCCTCTCTGCACACATAGATAGCAAATAACGCTCTCTATGTGTGCAGCAGTGGGCCCCCGGCTCCCTGTTAGCGCAGAGGGGGCCCAGCACACCGCCTCTTCTCCTCTCTTCTAATAACTCTCGCAAGACCCGCGGCCTTGTGAGCGTTACCATGGCAAAGCTTCGTGGGTCTCGCAAGAGTTATTAGAAGAGAGGAGAAGAGAAGAGTAGAAGCTGTGTGCTACCTGGGCCCCCTCTGCGGTAACAGGGAGCCGGGGGCCCCCCATGCCACCAGACCACCAGGGATGGAATCCCCCCCCCATCCCTGGACACAGGTAAGAAGCAGGGAGGGGGGAGAAACATTTAATTAATTTAATAGGAAATTTATGTGAAAATTCCCCTCCCCTCCCAGATTGCACATTTACACACACACACACTGCATACACTAACACAACACACACTCTGCATACACTAATACAACACACACACTACATACACTAATACAACACACACTGCATACACTAACACAACACACACACTGCATACACTAATACAACACACACTCTGCATACACTAACACAACACACACTGCATACACTAATACAACACACACACTGCATACACTAACACAACACACACTGCATACACTAATACAACACACACTGCATACACTAACACAACACACACACTGCATTCACTACACTAACACACACACACTGCATAGACTAACACACACGCACTGCATACACTAATACAACACACACACCACATACACTAACACAACACACACTGCATGCACTAATACAAAATAAAACACTGCATACACTAACACAACACATACACTGCATACACTAATACAGCACACACTCTGCATACACCAATACAACACTCACGCTTCATACACTAATACAACACACACTCTGCATACACTTCCCTGACACACACTCTGCATACATTAGTACAACACACACTCTGCATTCACTACACTAACACACACTCTGCATTCACTACACACTAACACACTCTCTGCATTCACTACACTGACACACTCTCTGCATTCACTACACATGAACACACTCTCTGCATTCACTACAATAACACACACTCTGCATTAACTGTACACACAGCATCCACTACACAAACATCCTGTATTCACAGTACACACACTACATCCACCACAAACTGAAACACTCTGCATTCACTTTACACAGACACTGCGTCTAATACACACATTACATCCACTACAGACACTGCATCCACTAAACACATTTCATCTAGTACACACAAACACTACATCCACAACACAAACACACACTACATCACTGTACACACACTACATCCACTACTCAAACACACTCTGCGTTCACTATACACACTGCATCCGCTACACAAACACACACTCTGCATTCACTGCTCAAACAGTATCTAATACACACAAACACTACATCCATTACACACATTCTAATTAACTTCCACTATACACACCACATTCAGTCCTGCATCATTGTCAGTGGACTAGGTAGGGCGTGAGCGGGCCCAAAATTTCAGATTTTGTATCTGTATGTCAGTGTGTGTATCTGAGTATGTCTGTGTGTGTGTGTATGTTAGTGTTCTGAGTGTTTGTGTCAGTGTGTGTATCTGTATGTCAGTGTGTGTATCTCTGTTTCAGTGTGTATCTGTGTGAGTGTGGAAAAACAACTTTATTGGCAACCACAGCCCGAGCCCGAAACAGCATAATTTTTTCAATGAAAAAAAGCAGTTTGTGGCAAAACGTGTGTTACATAAGTTGCCATATATCTGTATGACCTGAGTATACCACAAATTAGGGCTATGTAAAAAATCAATAATTAAAAAAAAGAGGAAATAATCAATTAAAAAAGGGGAATATCCCCCTAAAGTTACAATGAATGTAGAAAAGTATTTGTGGTACACCTCACATTCTATTATATTAAAAATAGAAAATAAAGAAAACATTTATGAAATCTGGCTGAATCCGCTTAAGGTGCAAAAAAGGTAAACATTTTAAAACAAATGGCTAAAGAACCATCAAAGATAAAGGTGCATAATATATCATGGGGTAAAAGAGAGTCATAAATAATCCGTATAAATATGAATCCCATTAATAAAATGTGGGAATAGATAGAACACTCCAATATAAAAAAAAGAAAAGAAAAACATAGTACTAAAAAATATATATATTGAAGACAACAATATTTATCCAAAAAACAATTATTTCCCAAAGAATTTAAAAAAATGCAAAAAAATCCCAATCTGTATTCAAACCATATGGAATATAGGTTTTAAGTTTATAGATCCATTCTGTTTCTTTTCTCGCCAAGGCCCTCAATGTATCACCTCCTCTCCAATGTGGTATTATTCTGTTGATTCCTATACAAACAAAATCTTTAAAATTAAAACAGGGACATTTATGACAGTGTCTAGCCATGCTATGTTTTTCATTTTTATTTCTAATAACATTAAAATGTTCTAGCAACCTTTAGTGCAATTTCCGAATCGTGTATCCTATATATTGAATCCCGCATTTACACTGTAGCAAATACACAAAATTTTTGCTTTGACAATTGATAAAAAATGTTTTATTTCAAACGACTCCCCTGTACTAAAACTTTTAAAAGTGATCATTTTTCTTGCCTGGAATTTGGACTTACTACAACTACCACACCTGTGGAATCCCTTCGGTTGTTGAGGTAAAAAAAGGTCCTTTTTTTTTTCTTATTGTTTTTAGGAAGTACACTCGGGGCCAAATTCATTTTGAGGTTCTCAGTTTTCTTATATATGATCTTGGGTCTTTCTGGTATAATATTCTGAAGGTATACTAATCTTTTATTAAAGGCTTCCATTAAAATGGCCTCAAGATTATCTCTAAAATGGAGCTGGATTATTTGTATATTCAGCATCCAAAATTGGCATTTTTTACCACCTGCCCAAGATCCACAAAAATCTAGATAACCCACCTGGTAGACCAATTATTAGTGGGATTGGATCGTTGACCAGTAATTTATCAGAATATATAGATTTTTATCTACAGAAATTTGTCTCTCAAGCACCTTCCTATATAAAAGATTCTGCCCACATAATAAGAGAAATGGAGGGCCTTCAATTGAGAGAGGATTACATCTGGGCTACTATAGATGTAACTATAATAGACCATCATAAAGAGATTAGGGCTGTATAGGAAGTTCTCACCCGTGATGAACAAATGTCTCAGAAACAGATGGTATTCATATTGAAATGTATTGAGTTCATTTTAAAGAAAAATGGGTTGAGGGCACACCTTATCTTCAGATATGCGGGACAGCCATGGGCACTAGATTCGCCCCCAGTTGTGCCAATATTGTTGTGGCAAACTGGGAGTCAAAGTTCATCTGGCAACACAATCCGTTTTTGGCAAACCTGGCGCTATGGAAAAGGTATATCTATGATATTTTAATTATCTGGCAAGGGGATTTACCCCTTTTTAAGGATTTTATTGAATACATGAACTCTAACAGTTATGGTTTAGGCTTCACCCAAGAAGTAGGTGACACTAGTATTAACTTCCTAGATTTAACGCTGTTTGTAAACAATGGAATAGTGTGCAATAAAACTTGTTTTAAGCCCACGGATTGTAACAGTTTGATAGACTATGCAAGTTGCCACAATCCACAGTGGCTACGAAACATTCCAAAAAGCCAACAAATGAGGCTGTATGGGAATTGTTCGAGAAAAGAAGATTTTAAGATCCAAGTGGAGTCATTAAACAAGAACTTTTTATATAGGAAATACCCTGAGGACTTTTTGAAAAAATCCCAAAGGGAGATAGAGTGTTTAAATAGCAAAGAAATTTTAAAAGAAAAACCCAAGAAAATAGTTACGGATGTAGATGTTAACATGGCCTTTTTAGCAAAGTATATCAGTAAAGCAACTAAAATTGAGAAAGCCATTTTAATGCAAGATAAATACCTTCAGAATATTATACCAGAAAGACCCAAGGTCATATATAAGAAAACTGAGAACCTCAAAATGATTCTGGCCCCGAGTGTACTTCCTAAAAAAAAAATAAGAAAAAAGAGGTAGTTTTTTACCTCAACAACCGAAGGGATTCCACAGGTGTGGTAATTGTAGTACATGCAAATTCAGGGCAAGAAAGACGACCACTTTTAAAAGTTTTAGTACAGGGGAGTCGTTTTAAAATAAAACATTTTATCAATTGCCAAAGCAAAAATGTAGCATAGTCATATAAGACCTTCACCAGAAAAACATTTTTTGAACTCTCATATAAGCTTTTTCAAATGTTGTACGTGTAGAATTTGTAAAATAGTGGGCCCACCTTTTGAGAAAACTTCTGAGTTTTTCTCTCCAGTCTCTACATATTTCATCCTAATCCCCCAGACACTCTATCTTGAGAAAGCCTGATCTAACGGGCAAACGCGTACATTGAGTTTGGTGGGAATTCCGATTTTTGAATATTGGAAGCGATCAGCAGCACTTGCAAGTCGGCGTTCCTTCAAGGGCATCGGTTCCAGTGCACAGGACCGGTCTGCAGAAGTCCATTAAGGAGCGGTAACCATATACATTCCAACCAGTGCACTGTATTGCACCAATGTTGTTGTGGTGGCACTTAGAGATAAGTTCCACCACTTTATCTTGTAAGAGTTTTATTTAGGGGGGCTTTAAGGGAATAAACTATTGTTACTTTACACTATGTTAGTATCTCTTTTAATTTAAGGTTGGATACAAAGTGGCATTGGACGAGATTTATTTCAACCTCAGAACATACAGACTATTGTGTTACCACTGTTATTCAATAACTACCTGGATACATCCTTCCATATATTAACATTTGAACTCTAACATTGCGGACTTGATACAAATAATGTTTGTTGCTTTTTTCCCTATTTTTGGTTGATAAGGGAATATCTGCGCTGATACTGGTTTTTATTTATTTCTATCTATTTTATATTGGAAACTTGGGAAGGTTTTTATAGTATCTGGCAACTGTTAACCATTATTAAATAGTGTCTTAGTAAACTTATTTTTATTTTATTTGCGCTCTCTTATCTTTTTAAATAGGTATTTAAAAAGATTGGGATTAGAGACTCCTATTCAAGCACCCCGGCTCTTGAGGAAGTCCTGACGATCACGGGACGAAACGCGTCGAGCCTCATAAGTATTGTTTTACAACTCCACAGTTTGGTGACTTTGGACACTTTTTTATCCTTGTTTAGCACTTTATAGGTATTAATTACCTCTTGGAGTCCCAACCGAGGGGGTTTGTTTTACACCATTTCATACCTATAGTGGACTACACTGTGCTGTATATTTAAATTTGTTGTATTAGTATTCCCTCTTCAATTTTGCTGCACAATAAATTGTTCACATTTTTAATCCAGATATTTCTATCTCCTTCTCTGCCTTTCTTATTTATGGGCTTGAGTCCTGTTTTTATACCCATGATTCCAGGATAGGTAAATATGAGCTGATGTGTAAGTACAAAGTTTTGTCAGTGTTCCTCAATCTTTCTTTATCAGTTATGGCTACTTAAGAAAGTAACCAATGGTCTCTTGGGCTGAGTCGTGGTCCGACCAGTCTCTCTTGGTGACCCAATTTGGGGTCTCAATTCCAGGTGTGGGGATGGTAAAGGTTAGCCATATGTGGTTCACGTAGGTGGGCTAGGGAGAGGACCTTTGTGCGAGGCTTGTGAATTGGGCACCGGTCTAGGCTTCTTTGTGGGCTTAGAGCCATAACCTGGACCAGGGAATTTAGCGTTGTTGGTTAAGCTTGTGTCTCCCATTGTCCTTGGCCTCGGCTGGTGTTTGAGCTCCTCTCCATCCCCTGTTTTGTCGGCCCTGACAACAGTCTTGGGGTTAAAGTGTATGTGGTGCAATAATCTTTGGATAAAGGAGGACGGAGAGGGAGGCGAGGTTGTACACAAGCTTTTACATAAATAACTTGGTTTAAATTTCACAAAGTACATAAATAGTTCCATTCTATAAATGTAAAAATCACAGTTAAAAGGGAGAGATCAGAATGTTTTGTTGCAAATAGCCTTTGTTCATACGTCTAGTAAACAAAATATTAGTAAAAATTTAAAATCGTACCTGTCACAAGCTTTGATGTGTATACATGCCAAGTTAAAGGACCATTGTATAATTGCCCATTATGCGCATGCCTTTGACATTTAATAATCTGTTATAGACCATTGTTTACTTTGCTCTTGATTTAAGACATAGAATTATCCCATGCTGTTTACATTGGTAATTCTAAATTACAGCAGATTTTAGGGGTCAGTAATGTCTTCAAATAAATAGCTATTCCAATAAAATTGACATAATGAAAAGTTTAAATGTACATTAAAGGTTTTGGAACGTTTTATGGTCTGACTTTTAATGTTGCAAAAATCTCTGGATTATACAGAAAGTAGAAAGAAATACAGAAAATAAAAAAATATAAACCACTCTTTTCTCCCCCTTACAATAGAGCATCCTTCTCAACATTTCTGGGACATTGTCGGTGAATAAATCATTAGCTGTTTTTATACATGAAAATGTAGACAAGACTAGTGCATTCTCTTTATTAATACTTATTTCTAAATAGATTTCTTGCTGTGAAAATCCATTACTAATTGGGTTTATTGTAAAGCTCTATTAGGATTCATAGATAGACTATGGGCCTGGTCCCAAGAGCCCCTAAAAGGGGCTGTTGTCATTGAGGAGAGAGTTATGGTGGTTTTGAATGCTTACTGTGCTTCCCCAGATAGATTTGAGCTAGCGCCCCCCCCCCCGGCCCCCACCCCTGAGTGACAGGTGGGGGCACTAAATAACAATGATGGGGGGACATAACAATGAGGGGAGGACCTATTGTCCTCCTCCCCGGCCCCCACCCCTGAGCGGCAGATGGGGGCCCTAAATAACATTAAGGGGGGAACTATTGTCCTTTCCCTGGCCCCCACACCTGAACGGCGGGTGGGGACCCTAATTGAGAATGTTGGGGCGACCTATTGTCCTCCCCCTAGCCACCACCCCTGAGCAGCGGGTGGGGGCCCTATATAACAATGAGGGGGGCCTATTGTGCTCCACCCCCGGCTCCCACCCCCAGCTCCCACGGATGGGGGCCCTAAATGAGAATGTGGGGGGACCTATTGTCCTCCCCCTGACTCCACCCCTGAGCGACAGGGGGGGCCTAAATAACAATGAGGGGGCAACCTATTGTCCTCTACCTAAATAACAATGAGGGGGGACCTATTGTCCTCCCCCCATCCCCCACCTCTGAGTGCTGGCTCTAAATAACAATGAGGTGGGGACCTATTGTCCTCCCCCAGCCCCCACCCCTGAGCGGCGGGTGGGGGCCCTAAATAACAATGGAGGGGGACCTATTGTCCTCCCCCCAGTCCCCACCGCTGAGCACCGGATTGGGGGCCCTCAATAACAATGATGGAGGGGAGACCTATTGTCCTCCCCTAAATAACAATGAGGGGGGACCTATTGTCCTCCCCCTAAATAACAATGGGGGGACCTATTGTCCTCACCCTAAATAACAATGAGGACCTATTGTCCTCCCCCCGGCCCCCACCACTGAGCGGCAGGTGGGGCCCTAAATGAAATTGTTACCCCCTCTGCCCCCCAAGGTGACTAGGGGTTACCAAAAAAAAATAGTGAGGGGGAAAAAAATAACTAAGTACCTGTAAAAAAATAAAAAATAAATAACTTACCATTTGATATCTTCTTTTTTCTAAAATCTTCATTTTTCAGCTCCAGAAAAGGGCAAATAAAAATCCATAATTTTTGAACTTGTCAAAAAATAAAAATCAGACAAAAAAGAGAAAACCTGACACTAAAAAAATAATCCATCTTCACCCATGGAGGGCACAGCGCAGACTGAGCTCCACAGGGTGGGGAAAGGCCCTGCAATTAGGCTCAGAACGCTCTGATTGGTTGGTTTCAAAGAACTTTCCCACGCTATGTAAAATGACACAGAGCACTCTGATTGGTTGGATTTCAAGCCAACCAATCAAGTGCTGTGACAGGTAAATGTAAAGACTTACCTGTCAGTCTCTTCATTTACCTGTCAGAGCACTCTGATTTGGTTGGCTTAAACCAACCAATCAGAGTGCTCTGAGTCTAATTGCAGGGCGTGGGAAGGCTTTATAAGCATTTTCCCGCCCTACGGAGCTCAGTCTACGCCGTGCCCTGCATGGGTGAAGATGGAATATTTTTTTTGCGTTGGGTTTTTTTTTTTTCGCCAGTTTTTTTTTGCGCTTGGTTTTTTTTTATTTATTTTTTTTATAAGTTCGACGGATATTATGGATTTTTATTTAGCCTTTTTTGGGGCTGAAGAATGAGATTTTAGAAAAAAGATTTTAGAAAAAAGAAGACATAGTTACATAGCTGAAAAGAGACTTGCGTCCATCAACTTCAGCCTTCCTCACATTTGTTTTTTGCTGTTGATCCAAAAGAAGACAAAAAACCCCAGTTTGAAGCACAATTTTGCAACAAGCTAGGAAAAAAATTCCTTCTTGACCCCAGAATGGCAGTCAGATTTATCCTTGGATCAAGCAGTTATTACCCTACATTGAAAGATTATATCTTTGAACATTCTGTTTTTGCATCTGTATGGACTCAGGCAGAGAATTCCACATCCTGATTGTTCTTATAGTAAAAAAACCTTTCCTTTGCCTTAGACGAAATCTTCTTTCTTCCAGTCTAAACGCATGGCCTCATGTCCTATGTAAAGTCCGGTTTGTGAATAGATTTCCACACAATGGTTTGTATTGGCCCAGAATATATTTGTATAATGTTATCATATCCCCTCTCAGGCGACGTTTTTCTAAACTAAATAGATTTAAATTTGTTATCCTTTCTTCATAGCTGATATGTTCCATTCCTTTTATTAATTTTGTAGTCCATCTCTGCACTTTTTCTAGTGCCAGAATATCCTTCTTTAGAACAGGTGCCCAAAATTGCACAGCATATTCAATATGGGGTCTTACCAGTGATTTATAAAGAGGCAAAATGATATTCTCGTCCCGAGAATGAATGCCCTTTTTCATGCATGACAATACTTTACTGGCCTTGGCCACTGCTGATTGACATTGCACGTTGTTGCATAGTTTGTTGTCTATAACAATTCCCAAGTCCTTTTCGTGTGTTGTTATCCCTAATTCGCTTCCATTAAGGGTATATGTTGCTTGTGTATTCTTCACGCCGAAGTGCATAACTTAATTTTTTAACATTAAATTTCATCTGCCATTTGAGTGCCCAGTCCCCCAGTCTATCTAAATCCCTCTGCAGCAAAGTAATATCTTGCTCACATTGTATTATTTTACAAAGTTTTGTGTCATCTGCAAACACTGAAACATGACTTTTAATGCTGTCTTCAAGATCATTTATAAACATGTTAAATACAAGGGGTCCCAGAACAGACCCCTGAGGGACAGCACTTGCCACCTCTGTCCAGCTTGAAAATTTACCATTAATGACAACTCTTTGTACTCTGTTTTTAAGCCAATGTTCTACCCAAGAACAAGCATTTTCCTCTAGACCGATTTCCTTGAGTTTGAACACTAATCTATTGTGTGCAACTGTATCAAATGCCTTGGCAAAATCCAAATAGACCACATCCATGGCAACACCCTGATCTATACTTCTACTTACTTCTTCATAGAACGCAATCAAGTTAGTTTGACATGACCTGTGCTTCATAAAACCGTGCTGATTTTTGCTGATAACACGTTCCTCTCAAGGAATTCTTGAATATTCTCCCTCAATATCCTTTCAAATATTTTACCAGCCACAGAAGTTAAGGTCACAGGTCTATAATTTCCAGGCAAGGATTTTGAACCCTTTTTGAATATAGGAACCACATCAGCCTTCCTCCAATCCTCCGGAACACTTCCTGAAAGAAAAGAATCTTGAAAGATTAAAAACAGAGGTTCACTTATATCTACACTTAGTTCCTTAAGTACACGTGGATGGATACTGTCAGGCCCTGGAGCTTTGTTTATATTAACTTTCTTTAGTTGCTGCAGCACCTTGTCTTGAGTTAACCAATTACAATTATTCTGCAAGTTTTCAGTAGCAATCATTTGCACATCTATTGCCATGGGTTCTTCCTTAATATATATACGGAAGAGAAATAGTTATTTAAAATTCCTGCCTTTTTCTGGTCTTCATTAACTAACACCCCCGTTTCAGTTTTTAGTGTACCTACACTTTCATTTTTTTTTTTTTTTTAAATTTATGTACTTAAAAAATGCTTTGGGGTTGGTTTTGCTCTCTTTAGCTATCGTTTTTCATTTTGAAGTTTAGCAAGTCTAATTGCCTTTTTACACGCATTATTTGCTTCCTTATATCTTTTATAAGATGCATCCGATTTGTCCGATTTAAATGCTTTAAATGCCCTTTTCTTATTTTTAATCTCTTGTTTTACTTCTCTACTAAGCCACATTGGTTTTAATTTATTTCTTTTATATTTATTTCCCAATTGTACATACTGAGAAATGTACCTTTCTAATATTTGTTGGAAGATGAT